GAATACCTGCCCAAATATTTATTTTAAAACGTTGTTGGAAATGACCTTCACGAATGGTATGAGGATTTTCTTGGGCCCACGTGTGAGTATTATTGAAATTTAATATCCCGTCTCGCGTAAAAGTACATTCCGACGCTATGAATTCTGATGAGCTTCACCGTAAACTAACAACATGTCGGCGAATTCGAGAACATTGTAAATAAACACGACGACGTACGCGAACAATAAATAACCACTGTTACACTGTGCGATCCATTGCCGGTTCGATAAGAGTGATGAATGACCGACGCGCTGTTGTCATGTGTGTTTTAAATATTTAATTTCATGAAACTTACTTACTTACTGACTACCAAATTTTGGCTTAACTTAGAAAAACTTAGTGCCACTTATTTGTTAATTACCCAATTTAAAAAAGTTTTAGATTAGATTATAAAAATTAGTAGGATTGTGGTGATTGTCGTCGATATAAAGCACTTAAAGTTGTAAACTATATAGCCATTTAGACAGAAAACTATTGACTTTTGGACCATGGGTCATATGAACTTTTTGACTTGTTTTGATCCCTCCTGTTACCCATTCCAATAATGACTACCATAACGTTTACGCCCTGTATTGTTGCAGATGGACGCAATCAGGAGTGAGTTTGGAGTATTTGAGAATCAATATTGCGTGTGCGTTAGCTGCGTATATTCTACTATCTGTCTGTTATGGTTCTATGGGTATTCGACTTTCCAGCTAGGGTTATGCTTGCTAGTTCGGGATAATAGAATTTTTGCACAAAGTGTGGTGGCGAAGCAATAATCAAGAAACTAGTAATCCCTGACCGCTCTATAATGACGGAAGTATCACTTAAATTTTGATGAAGATTTGCTACTAGAATAGCCAGGACCTAGTAGCTTCATAGGTTTTGAAAATTGGCCCAATGGTGGCAACATTATGAGCAAAAAAAATATATACTTGTTTTTCGATATCTTCCTAGTTTCTGAAAAATTTTGCGCGCAGCCAAATTGTTGGAGGGATAGAAGAATCTTATCAGTCGCAAGAAGTTTCTACGGTGCTAATAATTTTCAAATCGAGCATGTCTCAGTTTAGCTTACGATGCTAAAACTTTTCGGTGTACGCACATCAACACGTATCAAATACATCTATTTATATTTGAATAGTATCTAGTCAATCTACTTGGAGCCATTTTTACAGAGCACTGATTGAGTAAATCAACTCGACACGAATTTCCAAATGACCGTTTTCTATATCAAATAACGTATTTATTACAGGATTTTCTCTGAGACGTCGTATAAAAATAATTTCTTTTTCACCGCAGCTATAGGAATGAAACAGGAGATTTTTCATTTTCAATTTTCCCTTACGATGGAGTAATATGAGATCTAGCAGCTAGCTTTATATCCTTCCAGTTTACTACCGTGGAGAAATAACCAGTAATTTCCTTTGTTATGAATGAGGTTCTGTTTTTATTTCACCCTTGCTACGGCGACAAAATTTTAAAGTTACTAGTTGGCGAGGTTATACGACCACAAAGCGGGGCACAAACAACATGGTGTTTAGACGTACTGTTTTTACTTACAAAAGTATAAAAAATAGAACCACTAAGACCAAATTAGTACTTTTAACAGCTGTTTGCCGTCACACGTCATTGAGCAGACATCATTAACAGAGGAATCGCATTCCACCATTCACTTAAACCGTTGAAGATACACCGATTAAAAGCATAGCATTTCAAACTTTCGGTCCATTGATTGGAAAAGAAATACTCGTATTGCTCACTATGATGAATTTGTTGTTCGAGGAGCGTTAGATAGCCTTTCTTTGAACAGCCTCAGAAATATACAGGGTGTTCCTTAATGATATGCGAATATTTAAGGGTGTGAATCTACATGAAAAATTAATGTTAGTTTGCTTTATAAACTATGGTCCAATAATGTTAACTTACAAAAACTCGGGGTGTTGAAGTTTTAGGAAAAAAATGGAAATTAATTAATATTTTCAGAACCGCTTCAGATATTTCACTGATATTTAGTACGTAGTGAAAGTTAATAAAGTCGCATATTTTTCAATGCAAAAATAATTTTTAGCTTTAACAGAGGCGTGCGTACGGGTATTGACTTCGAGATTTTTTAAGAAAAAAATTGGACGCCAATGGTGTTTTGCCAAATAAAATATATTATGAAGAATCGAATGTACTATTATGCAAAAAACCTATAAAACGTCAAAAAAACATAACAAACGCAATGCCATCTTGCAGACTGGGGTGCAAATGGTTCATTGAACGTTTGCTCGCTATGATCGCTGTGAGCGTCCATCTATGGAGGAATCACTCAACTACACGCATTGTTGGTTGCAGAAAACAAGTATATGTTTTGTGAATCCGAGTAGTCTGTAGTGTTTATCTCTGTGAAAGAAAGAAAGTTGGTTAAGTAGATGATTATGAGTATTGGCTGGCATGTGTACAAAATAAGTTATATTTGCTATGCGAGAAAATTATTATTGAATATGCTGCCAATGGAGTATATCTATGAGGTGTGCCCGTCGGGTTATTTATATGTTCTCCTTCCTGAAGACAAGTTATGTTCAAAGTCTCCTAATCAGTCGTCGTGCGCTGCGCGGGTACGAATCCCGTCCCAAGAGAAATTTTTCTCTTGGCTATAGATGTTGTGATTACCCGTAGATGACAGAAGGTCTCTGACTGTCGTACGCGGAGGTACCACCCGGCGGTTCTCGTAGGCGGGGCCAGAATGTGTGCATGTTGCATGCGCACGTGTTCCCTCGCCAGAGTCCGTGTGGCGTTCCCCCTTTCCCCTGTACCCCCCTATGGCCCTACGGTACCCCTTTGGTGTTTAGGCCTTAGGCCTTCGTGGTAATTGGAGTATAATAAATGACATTTAGGCAACACGTACAAAACGAGTTCGCAACAAGTGTCTATGAGCTAGTGTTAATATCTTGAAGAAAAACCTATATCAAAAAAAAAAACAACAATATGTACGTAATATCCGTGCTGGTCAGCTTCGACATACAAAACGAGAATTAAAAACTTGACGAATTTGTCTGATAATTATATTTTTCGAATCTATACCTAATCGTTCAGATATGTTGGCCTCAGGATATCTGACTCATGGCGTCTTTATCAACGTTTGAACTAGAAAATAGGATTCTTTGCATCTCCCAGGAATACCGCTGCTCAGTTTCAATTAATTAATCGTATTCCCCTGTTTCAATTCAGACATGTGTTGAAGAATCAATGAATCTGTATCATTATAAATTGGAGGTCATTTGGTAGATTGATTCGAATTCGAAGTTATCATGTGTAGCAGAACGCGATAAACATTTAGTTGAGTGCTCGTCTTCGATACCCTGCCATGGGCTTAAGTTCAAAATCTATTTGAACCTCAATTTAATTATTTTTTTACATGATATCGTCGTTTTTTACATGATATCGTCGTTTGTGGTTACTAGTCTTTGAGTAGTTGTCCCTGCTTCAGCCATCCTGGCAGAGGAGGAGGCTTCAGCAAATAAAGAATAATCTTCAGTATTATAAAAGTTGTTCTGTCAGATTGTGAGCGAACCTATTTCCCCTAAGTTTCTTGGATGTTTGATGAATGGCATTATGTAGCATTCTTATTATTCCAACCTCAACCAGTCATTATACCTTGTGTATTGCTACAGCTTCCTTCCAGCAGCTGATGTGATTTGCCGGATGTATTTGTATCAAAACATGTCCTTAATGATCTGAAGTTCATAAAGACGGAGCAGCAAAACCAGACGTGCGCTTGTGCGCTTTTTATTAGCTAAGGTACAACACTTGTTTCTGAACAAATGACATTTTAGCATCTTCCTTGTTGCAAACTCATCATCACTTATTGAAATCTGTCGAAATCTGACAAGCGAACCGCCTCTTCTAATAGCGTTGATCCCCGAAAAGGGCGATTATTAAAGGGATTATCGCCTGAAGGGCGCCGCAGCCGTCTGTTACGGATACGCACCCATAAAGGAGGGGCGGGGGTTAATAGAGACTTCCTTAGCGATTTCGGGGGTGAGATATTATTACCGTTACGGTTATTATGAGGTTTTCATGAGTGCAGATGAGAGGGTATGCCTGACATATTGCTCGCAGGGTGTGGGATAATCAGTTCTTGGGAGGTGTAACGTTGATTTAGGATGTGATTCGAATGGACTTTGACTATGGTTATTGATGTGCAGAGGTTTGCCATGTGATACTACCATTGAAAGCTGTGTCAACCCGTATATGTTTCTAGCAAGCGTTTTTCTACTTTGTCGATCCCGCGTTTCATCTTATAATTTTGGAAAGTAATATGCTTCCAGTGCGAAAGGCGAAAGTAAGTTTAAACCGCTAAAGTTTGCTGTTTGCTACCAATTATGTTTTTTTTTTTTTATACTCCAACTACCACGAAGGCCTAATGCCTAAGCACCCATCGGGTACCGTGGGGCTATGGGGGATACATGGGAAAGGGGGGACGCCACACGGACTCTGGCGAGGGAACACGTGTGCATGCAACATGCACACATTCTGGCTCCGCCTACGAGAACCGCCGGGTGGTACCTCCGCGTTCGACAGTCAGAGACCATCTACCACCTACGGACAATCACAACATCCATGGCCAAGAGAAACATTTCTCCTGGGACGGGACTCGAACCCGCACAGCGCACGGCGGCTGATCAGGAGACCGAAGAGTCTACTACTGCGGCCACCGCTGCTACCTAAAACAAACACACAACATCCATGGCGAAGGCGAGATTCGAACTCGCGGCCCGGCCGGCCGGCTGATCAGTAGCACGACACTCTGACCCACGCGGCCAACCGAGGTCCCTGTGCCAATTTTTATCATACTAAAATCTATTGTTGTTACTCAAAATTATAAAATCATTGCGATGGCTATACAGAGCAGTAAAAATGTGCATGGTTGAATATTGCTCTCATACTAGAATTGCAATAAAAGAAGCCAAAAGGTATTCCTTGAAATGCTTACCCGATGTTTGTCCATGTGCAAAGGTCTTAAGTTTGGGTCGAAAAGCAGCTTATTTGGCTCCAAATTTACAGGTGACTGCCTTCGACCCTTATTGCATAACGACCATTCTGGATTGATGAGCCCCCAAAACGCTGGACCTGAAACAAGAAATTATCGAATTAGTGTTTTTCACAACGGATTTGACACGAAAATGGATTCTAGCAATGCTCGACGATACTCTTTGATAATTTCTGGAAAGAGCAACAAGTGCAATCGAACTCTCTTAAACCTCCTCTATTTTATTGTTGTATATTTTATACAATAGTCTTAAGTGTTCATACAAGGTGCATATCTCATTACTATGAAGCAGTCTAAATGATATTCTTAGATTAGGAGGGGGTTGGTTTATTCGCTTATAATACCAAAACTCAATTTATCACGCCAAAACAAAACTCCCAATTACCCCAACTACTTCAACAAACGATCCACCACTGCTCTCAACGTTACGGAAGACTACGGCTTCCTTCGACTTATTGTTCTGACGGCATAGGCAGCAGCCGTTGCCATGGAAACACATCAACGTCGATAATTTGCAATCGGTGAGCGGTGTGTGTCTCTACAACCCATCTTAACTGTCATTAAGCTTCAATCGGATACGAAGGTTGCCTCTGATCCTTTCGACCTGCGAAGGTACAGAGTCGGTGGTTTCTAATGGGAGGGCATAGTCAATGCTTCGGTTAGGTATGATTAGTAGCTATGATTGTAGAGGGGTTAGGTTAAGCTTTTCGCGAGTGGATCAATCACCATCCTCTACTGCGACTCACATCTCAGTTGTGGCTCGTATCTATTTATATCTCTCCCAGTAGTCCCGACGTCACAACAAACTCAAGCAGCTTATTTGGAGAAATACCTTACAAGTTTTTCACTTGGAGCAATACGCCTTTAACTGAAAATTGTATTCTATGAGATCCTGCACGGGTATCATGTAAAAAACCTAGACAACGTCAAAAAAAAAACCTATAAGATGTCAACTTGCAGACTAGGTAGTTTTTAGGGCGCAGTCATTCCACGTTTGCTCACTAGGATCGTTGTGAACGTCCATCTATGGAGAAATCACTCAACTAAACTACACGCATTTTTGGCTGCATAGCTTTGCTAGGCTGAGTTATCCGTGTCTGTAGCTTTTATCTCTGAGAAGAAAGTTGGTTGAATAGCAAGATCGCATCTGGATGAATATGTGTATTGGTCTGCATGTGTATAAAATTAGTGATATTTGCTGTGTGAGAAAATCATCACTGAATATGCTGAATATGACGAGTTATTTGTATGTGGTGCTTTCTGAATAGAGGATATGTTCACAGTTATAAATTACGAAAAACTGAGGAGAATTACGGGAAATCATCACCGCGCCCGCCTTGTGTGTAATTACTGTTAGCATGTAATATGCTTGTACTTTGACAGTGTACAGTGAATATAATTATTTCTGATCTCTCTCATTTTTGAATCCAGCAACTTTGTATATGTAACTTTCAGAATGTATAAGAAAGTGTCTGCACAACTAATTTCTAGCTTTGAATCTCGATTAAGTGTATTTGAGACAAGAATCCAATGGAACTATCATACACAAAGATTGATAACAAGCCTCATGACGTTTAGGCAACGTTCAACTAAGTGCTAAGTTAACATCTGGTAGAAAAACCTACATAATGTCAAAAAAACCAGCATAATGTAAAAAAATTCGGCATAATGTCACTTTTCAGGATAGGCGATACTCGTGCCGATCTCTAGGCACAAAATCCAAATTTCATTCCCCTATGTTAACAAGCGTTTCTTTACACATTACGTTCGATGTACAGCATTTGGAACCAAAAGGTGGAACATCTTATCTTTTCATTCTTTTTTTGCAAATTCTTGTCTTCACCAAGAATGATTCTTCTTTCAAGTCATGCTCCTATGCATATACTGATGAATGCATGCGTACCTCAAATGGCAATTTGCGTATTTTATATCAACTTATGGATTTAGTATAAATAATAAAAGCAACAACTTCACATCTGAAGTCAAGGAGCGATTTTATGGACGAGTGGTGGTTTTCCTTGAAGGTTGTAATTGAGTGTCTTCTTTCTTTAAAGCAAATGAAAAATAAATTTACCTCCGGACCCGATGGAATTCCATCATTTTTAGTGCGTGACTGTGCCTATGTCTTAGCTCATCCCTTGACAAAGATCTTCAACCTATGTTTAAAGACTGACACGTTTCCTGAAATTTGGGGCGAATCAAAGGTGCGTCCCATTTTCAAGAAGGGTGATAGACTGCAGGTTGAAAATTATAGACCGATAACCCTAGTATGTATCTTTTCCAAGGCCTTAGAAACTTGGCTTCATAATTTCCTATACCACAATACACATTCCCAAATAAGTACTTCTCAGCATGGCTTTATGAAGGGTAGATCAACCATAACTAACCTAGTCTGTTTTACTCAGTCAGTCTCCTCTGCTTTAGATGCTAATAGCCAGGTGGATGTAATTTATAGAGATTTTAGTAAAGCATTTGACAAACTTGATCACAGTATTCTGTTAACGAAGCTGAGCTATTTTGGATTCTCCCCCAAGCTGTTATCCTTTCTTATGTCATATATATCAGGAAGAAAGCAATATGTTGAATATGAGGGGACGCACTGCGACTGATCAGGAGACCGAAGAGTCTACTACTGCGGCCACCGCTGCTGCCTGCCTGCCTGATCGTGTCTTGAGAGCGCCTCCAGACTATGATGATCCCAAAGAAATTTTGTTAACCCGAGGTTAGTAGAACTGGGAAAAGCTTTCTCTTGTAGATTTCTCCAGAATCTCGACTCCCTCGGGTCAAAGAAGCGGTCCTATCGGCCAGTTCTGGATGTGCGAAGTTCGACACGGTTAGGATGGGAGGCCAAAGTCAGGCGGGTCTATCTGGCAGGCACATCGCGCGGCAGCATCATGGAAGAGAGCTCTGAGGGGCAAAGCCCGTTGGTGTAGCGGTAGAAGAGTACTAGATCGCCTTGCGAAATGATCCCGAGACTGACTGTTAGAGAAGAGTCATCGATCAGTCGGACAGCTCTTCTCTGCTCAGCACCGAGCATAAATAAAAAGGACATGCGGAGAAAAGTGCTTCTTAGACCTAAACAAATAGCCTAACTTTTTCCCAGCAGCTGCCGCTATTGACGAGATGAGTTCGTTCCAGATCAGGTCCTTGGTGATCTGGACTCCGACCTGTGGCAGGACACGGCCATCCATCGAAACCGGATGAGCTTTAGGACGTTTTTTGTTCATCAAGGTACAGTACTGTGTTTGGAAGCATTAAACTGTACAAGATTGTTGCGTCCCCAAGCAGTGATAGCCTCCAGGTCTCTTGTCAGAGAAGAAGTCGTCGCTAGTCTTCTTTTTTCCAGCTCAGCGGCAGAGATCGGCTTGTCACTCTGAATTCCTACATGTAGAGTGCTGTCATCAGCAAAGCTGTGGATTGGGTTGATCGTGCAGGAAAGGAGGTCGTTGATATGTAAGAGGAACAGTGTTGGAGCCAAGACCGATCCCTGGGGAACTCGCGCGTTGACGTTGTGGGATGAAGAGGAGAACCGGTCAAATACGACGTTATCTTGTGGTCAGAGACAAAGTCAACCACTGCAAAGCTTCTCTGCGACGTCATGGGATGGAAGTTCAGAGAGAGCCATTCGTCCGGGCTTGTAGAGTTCAGATTACTGCATTATTTGGAATGAGTATGACTCGTCAAAATTCCTTCCTTGATTGTCGTACGTTTGTGCCTCATCGTTCACCACCATGCTTCATCACAAATGGGAAACTAACGTACATGACATAACTTTTGATGACTAGGTGTACCCGCAACAACGTCACGTGTGAGAGAGTAGCGGTTCGAATGCGTACCATACATCAAAATTATGTTTTCCTCAGCCTCGGACGTTTGATTTATGGATGTGAGGCTGAAGAGCACTTCAGCCAGTAACGACTTGTAAATAAGGGTCCGACTTAAAAACAGATAAGCAGGAACTGCCAGGTGAAAGGCAACGGAAACAGTATTTCGATTAATCTTAATAGTCCCCTGGTGATGAAGACTAGAGGTTTTGAGACAGGATAAGGAGTAGTGAAATATTATGCTGTTTGTTATTTAATATTGAAACAGGGCCCAAATATCTCAGTAATACAAGTGTTCTAAAGGCGTTTAAGTCAGGCTAATGGACAAAACACTTGCTGGTAAATGTGTTCACATTTTTAGAATCATAGGAAAATAGATCGAAGGAGCAAAGTCCTTTTGGCATATTGGCATATTATGCAATTTAGTTCTTTTAATTCGTCGGATAGCGTTGCCGTGGTCCAGTAGTGACAAACTTCCTCATTCAGATATTATTGCAACCTCGCTTTTTGCCTTTTCATAACTTTTTTGTTTCTTTTATGGAACCATTTGACTATGTTTTTTAGAAATTTATTTTAAAACCTTCGTATAATTGTGAAATTGTTTTTCTATAGAATATCTGAATGTGGATATTGAAGTATATTTCGATATCATGATATTATATACAAGTGAATGGACTTCTAAGAGAGGCTTATAAACAGTGAAATACCACTAATCATCACCTAGATTGGGTTACTATAAAAATCATATCAACCAACACATCTGCCATCCTAGAAATACTTGTGAAAGGTAAAGGCATCAAACCAACTAACTAGAGTGTGCAGTGACTCAAATTATTAAAACTCGTTAGTGCAATCACCAAGCTGTTAAAGCTGCTCAACAATTCATGAGATTGAAAACCTTTCAGAACTAAACATGGATAAAAGTTGTCGATCAGTCAAAAACACATGGAGGTATTGGAAACTTACGACACATTCAGGATTACTACAAAAATAGCCAGAATTGAGTCCTCAGATTATGAATATTGTGTTAGAAGAAGGTATAGTGATTTCTGGAAAAAACCTATTGACAGCTATCCTTTCTGCATTGTGCACATAATTAACCCTAGTCTGATTCCATAATGGAGTTTATTGAGACCTGAGTATACATATATACAAAGAAATATTGCCACTGCAGGGGCCCATGATGAGTTATGCTATTCTCTTCCATTTTGGTACTCAACTATAGAAGACAATTATATGGTTAAATATACAAAGAAATCCCT